CACACATGGATCGAGTTTAAGTTCACGTGGTTCGGCGGCTGGCCCGTGGCATCGGGACACACACACACACACACACACACACACACACACACACACACACACACACACACACACACACACACACACACACACACACACACACACACACACACACACACACACACACACACACACACACACACACACACACACACACACACCACACACACACACACACACACACACACACACACACACACACACACACACACACACACACACACACACACAAGAAGCGTACGACCCGCTCCAGCTTCGGAATATAATGGCCACGTTGGAAAGCTAATGTGCCCTCTCCCCCTCCCTCCACCTGCCCTCTCTTGCAGAAAAATGTACAACCAGTCATACTGAAAATAAATGAATGGGTATCTTGTAAAGGATGAAAATATATAAAAATAAATAATACTAAAAGTACTCAGAATGAAAATAAAGTCTAATAATACTAACACAATCCGTTTGGTTCACGTAGCATCGAATTCGTTTAGTTTTGCTATATTGACCAACTTGCGTGTGCGACTTCACGTATGTATAAATAAATTAATTGAGTAATTCAATTTCTGTGTTTCACGAAACGTCGCGGAGACACGTCAGTCGCCCAGGGCTCTCGTTGATTCCGTGGGTAAGTGATCTCAATTTCTTTATGAAGTATGACTCCCGCTGTTCGCGCTCCCGTGTGTTCTGGAAGCCGGATTGTAGGAGTATGACACTTACGCGTTCGAAAGAGTGACCAGGAAGATTGATATGTTTGGAGAACGGCAAATTGGGGAGGCCTTTTACGTGTGCCCTGTGGTTGTTGAAACGCAAACGGAACGCGGTTTCCGTGTGTCCAATATATTCCCGTTTGCACACCTCACAGCGAATTTTGTGTACCACATTGGCTGAGTCACACTTAAGGTCGTCTTTAATTTTGTACACAAAGTCTGAACAAGAGGCTTCGGCCGTATCTGTGGTCACCATGTGTGTGCACACCCTGCAGCGAGGTTTCCCGCACGGTCTACAGCCCTGATGGTGGTCGGATTTGTGTGTTTTCGCCCTGACCAGTAAGTCTCTCAGGTTTTTATTTCTTCGGTAAACCACCTTGGGCGGAGTCTGAAAAATGGCAGAGAGGCGACTACTCTGTTTAAGTATGTTGAAGTGGCGGTTTAGTGTAGAATTCACCCGAGGGGCGGCGGCGCAGTATGTGAGGATTAAATTTGCCCCTGAAGTTATATCATATTTATTCCCACCTTTTTCTCCCATTGTTGATTCTCGGTCCAAAGAGCGAGCGCGCTCAATTGCATTGTCAATTATTTTTTCGGGGTACTTTTGACGCAAGAAGGCTGTTCTCAATTCCTGTGCGTGGGTGTCAAATTGTGTGATTTCAGAGCAAATTCTTCTGTATCTGTGGGCTTGAGAGTAAGGAACACCTGTTTTGCATTGATGGGGGTGACTGCTATGGAAATGCAGATACTGTTGGCGGTCTGTTGGTTTTTTATACAGGGAAGTAGATATGGTGGTGCCACTGAGTGATACAGTGACATCCAGAAAGTGAACACTCTTCTGCGAATACGTGTGCGTGAATGTTATCGAAGGATGCACGGAGTTGAAACCGGAAATGAATTTGGAAAGATTATGTTCACTATCGGCCCACACTAAGAATATATCATCGAGGAAGCGTCGGTAAAATATAGGTTTGAATGGAGAATTTTCGAGGAAAGGAATCTCTAAAGAGGCCATGAAAATATTTGCGTAATTTGGGGCCATTTTGGTTCCCATGGCAGTTCCGTTTACCTTGCAGATAATGGTTTTGGTCGAATTCAAAGTTATTATGTTTAAGTACCAGATTTAGGAGCACCTCTAAAGCGCTTTCGTCGAATTCACTCGTCGATTTACTTTTTCCATAGGCGGCGACTGTGGCGGCGATTCCTTCGGTGTGGGGAATGTTTGTGTACAGGGATGAGACATCCATGGTGACCAAATAGCAATCTAGAGGTACCACAAGTTTTGAGACTTCTCGAAGGAAGTGGCTGGTATCTTTGATGTATGATGGAATGATTGTGGGATGTGCCTAATCAGAGAGTCAATGAAACTAGAAATTTTTTCAGTAGCAGTACCGTTGCTGGAAACTATGGGTCGGCCGGGATGGTTAGTCTTGTGAATTTTGGGTAGTAAATAGAAACGCCCGGGAGACGATTTGCCAGGTATATATAACCTAACCCTTTAACATGGCGATTTTCCAGCTTTCAGACGCCACGAAGAAAACTCGAGCATCAGTCATTTTTCAGGGTGGTGACCGCAGCAGTGGAAAGTGGAAGTAACTACAGGCCTATATCGGTCCTTGCCTTATTCTGTAAATGTTTACAAAAATATTATTTTCCACATAATAATTTCTTTAATAAACATCCGGGTGTGTTAACAGATGCGCAGTTTGGCTTTACCTGCGGCAATTGCACTGAAACTGCACTGTTGACATTAAAAGAATCTATACGTCCTAACATTGAACGAAAAAATTTCCAATTGGCATATTTTCAGATTTCAGTAAGGCATTTGACTCGCTTTATTATATTATAGTTAAGCAAATTAGAATCAAATGGCATTCGTGTTGTTGGTAAATTTTTAATTCAATCATATCTTAGCACTAGGTACCAAAGTGCTTACATTAATGAAAATAGCTCGTCATTTTCGCCCCAAACTCGTGGTGTGCCGCAAAGCGGTATAATCGGTTCACTTATGTTTAATGTTTACATTAATGATATTGTTCAACTGAACACAGCAGTTAAATACCTCTTATATGCGGCTCATTCAACAATAATCCTGGATGGTGTTAACGTAGGTGAGATTGCAACCATAGCAAATGATATGATTTCAAGAATTTCATCATAGTCTAGAATGAACCAGCCTAAAATTAATCCAAATAAAAGCACAATCATTTTTTTTTCGTGCCAACAATAAAGTATTCACTACCCATCAACCTCTAGTTCTTGAATCATTGCCGATAGATGTCGTGGTTACCTACAATATACGTGGAGTTTATTTCTTTTCCAATCTATAGGCTGGGATACACATGTAACTTTTGTTTGTAAAAAGCTTTCTTCGGCAAGAGGAGTGATGTCTCGTTGCCGTAACATTTTGCCGCTCAAGGTGAGACTTTAGATATATTATGCACATTTAATTCACATTTAGAGTATTGCAGTCTCATACGGGCCACGAAAAGTAAACCAAACGTAATAAAGTCATTACTCTGCGAAAAAAATATAGATAGTCCGCGAGACTGTAAAATTGAATTGTTCGGAACGACGCGTGAAGATTTCTGAAAGTTTGATATAATACGGGCTGACAACCTTTACACATTTCGCTTATTTTATTCGCTCTTTTTCTCAAGTAGGGAGCACTGCACCGTCATTAGATCCCTGTCATGCCTAGAGCGCCGTGTCATTACAATTCTCACAAAAAGTATAGACATTTGGTTCGTACCACGCTTCCGCACTACATATAGATACAAAGCCTTGATCTACAACGTTTCCACAATTTTAACGCGCATCAAAGTACAATCATCTGTAACAAGAAACAACTTTCCTCATATTTCTGCTCTCCGGTTTCATAGGAACACGCGCAACAAAATATTCTCATAGTTTATGTGATGTTTTTATACTTAACTCTAGTGTAAATAACTAGTACTATCATGTTACATGTAGTTATCTTGCATTGTATCAGCGATATTATTATATCTGTGTTCACGTAAATGTACATTTTTGTGCTTATTAAGTTTACAGGTGTAAATATATACGATAGTCTATGCATGGCGTGTATTGGTTTTTGAGAACCCTTTTTTAACATATTTATCATTGGTATTGTGAAACAATCAGTTGGGAAATCCTTTTTAAATTCGTATGTATGTTCATGTTTTACATTGTACTTGCATGTTATGAACTTGTAATCATTTCCGCACTACTGCCATTTGAATGTACAGGTCACCAGTGCCTTTGTCAAGCCGTTCTCACGGCTTATAGCCTTGGTGAACTTTCAGTTTTGTCTGGTAAAAGTGGTAAATAAAACATTAGAATTTGAATGTAACCTCATTGTCTAAAAAAAAGTTTACTGAAGTGGTGGCTTCACTTAAGCATGAGAGCAAGAACTTGCATGGAGCGTTCGTGCGCTTAGATTTATACACTCGTTTTGTAAGGACGCGCATGCTTAAATTACGTGCAAATTAAATGAATTCTGGTGTTTAATTTCCCAAACATACTGCCGGCTACCTCGAGGCACCCCGTAGCAGCGCGCACTTTGGAATTATCTCGACCTTCCTGAGATCTCTGCCGTGCACCCAAATTTGGGCATAAAATATTTTACCCTTCCAAAGCCGCATTAAATTGTGACAAGTGCATGCGGTCGTAATGCAGCGGTCTCAGCAGCGCAACGCCATGGCGTCTGATACCGCTGCGGATGATGTGAGGTTGTCAACCGAACGTGACCCGTGTATCCCCCCATTAAGGTACAACTCTGTATTTACCACACTGTGTAATTGTATCACATAACACCTATTTGTTAATTCTTATTTACTTATTTACGGGAAAATGAATTTCGGTTGGAGCAGGTGTTACTAGATTAGCTTTAACAGTTTCTATACTTGAAATTAAACGCCCACAATCACTGCATTCATAAGGTTAGTTTTATAGTTGAAGTAGATGAAAACAGCGTGGTATGTAACTGGCTTTGAAGTGAAGCTAACTGATTATACGATGTAATAATTTCGTAGGGCCAGTAGGCTTTCTACAGTTACACAATACGCCCTAAAGAGGACGGAAACGCAGTCGATAGTAGAGAACTACGCAGGACAAAAAAATGGAAATTCGCGCGCGTAATATGGCGTTAGCAGGCTCAAGGGAAAGACCCCTCATGCAGTAGATGCGAATATTTCCTTCAGTAAAAGTTCTTCACGTCAAACTCTAACGCAAACTCCTGTGGTTTCAAGCATAACTCACCGTCATTAAATATCTTGTCTTCACAGCAGAAGAAGGATTTGTAATTACTGAGCACCACAGGTACCACGGGGGCCTGTAACATTGTGAAAAAGAAAAGCACACGATATGAATAAATTATGTAATAAAAGTTTATGGCGTTCCTAACTTATTTATTTATTCGTTTATTTATTTTAGTGTTCCAGACATCGAATATCTTGGATGGCAAGCAAGGCTAAAGGCAAAACACTATCTGCCTGACTGAGGCCTTGTCGAAGAGTTATTCTCACGAACCGTGTACCTGTACAAAGGTCAATCGAAATGTCAAAAGACAAAGGAGTGAAGGCCTAAAGAAACAAGTGCGAGTAAGGGTCGAGGGGGGTGGGAATAGAGGCTGGAGGCGGACTGCGTTCTTTCCAAAAATTCGCAATGTTAGAGGTGTCTCGATGGGCCACATGAGAAGCAGCACCAATTAAAATTTGAAACGTTTGAATTTTGTTCTAGACATGTAATAGTACTGCTGGAATGATTCGGGCATAAGTACACTTATACATTATCACAATATAAAATATTTTTTTCTTTTTTACGTCTCCCTCACTGCGCACTGTTCACTAATTGCCCCCCCCGCCAACCCCCCCCCCCCTCTTGCGTTGCGTAGAAAACATACGTCTGAGGTAAACCTTATCATCCACTTTGGAGCAAGCCGTGGAGATGCTGCATCGCCTTCCTTACCTCAAGTACGCTCCCGAGGTCTATGTGAGGCGGCATTGTACCGCGTATGCTGTATACAGGGTGTTTCCGGCATATGACCGAAGATCCTCAAAAATAGGGAAAATGCAATACTTGCTCTCTGCTCTGATAATGAATTATTCTGTAGAGGCACACGTCTTAAAATTACTAGAGGGATTAGCTGCGGCAGTATTGATAGAAATTGAATAAATTAATTTTCTAATTAGTGGAGACAGGCAGTCGGGGGTTAAATGGGAGGATTGCAGTCCTTCCTGTGAAGAGCCTATTGCCGATTGCCACATTGAGATTTCAAAAAAGTCAAATTAGAAAAAGGTAATTACTGTGGAAATTACCTGCACGCGCTTTTTGAAAGTCTCAAAGCGGAAATGGGCTCTTCGCAGGAGACGACTTCAATTCTCCCACGGGAGCTGGCCGCCTGTATCCACTCATTAAAATTCTTTACTGCCGTAATGAAAGCCACTCGTGACGTTACTGCCATAATAGAAGTCACTACAGAAAAAGTAAATACGAAGGCAGCGAGGAAGCATTTCGCTATTGATATTTTTTTTAAAGAGGCCCTGAAAGACTTTTTCAAGTAACAATGAAATCGATTCACTAAAAGAGCTTATCGCCCCACGAACCCAACGCCGCAAAAATTTTAAGAATCCGTCCGATACGAGCGGAGTTACAAAAAATTGCTGCACGCTGCAATCGCGTTCTCTCTTCTCTTGTCCCGGCGAAAGCGCTGGAGGCTAGGGAAGAAGAGATGGCATGGGCAAAAAAAAAAAAAAAAGGTCACGTGTGCCTCGTTACCTTGAGCACTTTTTCTTTTTTTTTCTTCAAACACGCGGCTTTTTTCTTGTGATCGCACGCGTGGACAAGTCGCGGCCTCTCGTGGCAGTCCCTGTAACGACCGAGCGCGCGATGTTCAAATCAGCCACTGGCTGACAGATGACCTTCTACGCGCGATGTTTGAGCGTCTTCCGTCATTTCTCGAGAGAAGAGAAAGTGATTTTTAGCTGACTTTGATACTTTATTGTGAATTACAGGCCACGTTCTGCACTATAGTATTTGGCTCGCGTGTTTTCTGGAGCCTCTACTACCGATTGACAGCATTTTCTGACCATGCTCAAAAAGTGTGGCAGGGCCCCTTTATTTTAGCACCAATTTTTTGACATGCCCTGTATGGGCACCCTAACCAGTGAGCATTGTGAAGGCGCCTCACAAGGGTACTTGAGCTGTGTGTAGTATAGGACATATGCACAGAGTTGAATGAATGACTGTTCCTTATTTCACACATATCTTAAACAAAATACTCACGAACTGGATGGTACTAAAGCCAAAAGCTAGTGCGGGTCCCATTGGAAGTGTAGATAACAGAAACTGCAATAGTTCTAATTAATATAACAAGACGTAAACAATTAAAGGTTGATATTGTCATTTCAGAAATAATGTTTTTTTGGTAACAACAGTTTGAATTCAAAACAGCATAGAGAGAGAAAAAAAGAAGTGCATAACCTATAGTTAAAACGAAATTTTGGGTCATTAGGGGTGTACAGAACTGCAGAATGAATGTTGTAGTTCCAAGTAACAATAAGAGTTGCCTTATATAGCTTAATAGAAAGAACAAGGATATCGAAACACCCATAGAATAATGACGAGGTCGTGATTCTCAGCCCGGGCCCAGCTCGGGCGCGGAACTCATTCAAGTTTACTCTGTCGAACATGGCCCGGTGACAAAAAGCGAGACGCAGGCCCAGCCCGAACCTGAAAAAAAGTTTCATCTACAAGGCCCGGCCTGGCCCGATCGCAGATCGAGCTCTGCATGGCCCCCAGGTAATGTCACGCGGCTCGCGGCCTTCACATGACCGTCTTCGTTCTATTTTTGAAAGCATTTTTTAGGCACCATCGGTGGCCACGATGTGTGGATACATAACCGTGAAAAAAAAAGAAAGCTATACTATCTGAATCAGCGTCTATATTTTAGTCATCTTGGAGATAGGTATCAATATGTTGTTAGAAGCTAGTCACCAGATAGCCTTCAGAAATGACCCATATAGAGTAAAAGCTCGTCGAAAACTCGAATTAGTCGGGCATCGTCCCTTTAGTCCCGGCCGGCCTACGCATCGCGTGATGTCATCAATCCCTCTTTAATTCGGTCGCATTTAGTCGTAACCCGGTGAATTCGGACGATCGGACAAATGTGGGACGCAAAATGTGAAAACGGCGTTTGCAGCCAACCGAAACGAAGCGGCGCTGTACGTCCTCGTAGATATCCTCAGCAATGAGAGACCATAGTTTCGTTCGCACGTGGATCCACCACTCGGCAGCTTCGTTTGAACTTGACGCCATACATGCACATGGTCACAAAACACGAACATGGCGGAAGCTGTTGGAAATCAAGAGCTTTAAACCATTGTAATGATAATCGTTCGGACTTAGCATCCAACATCCACCATATGATTATTAGTGATGACTTATTGCTTTAATGTTCACCCAAATCTAGAGGCCTCACGCATCTTCGCCACCATCGAAAATGCGGCCTCCACGGCCTGGATTCGATGTTGTGACCTGCGAGTCAGCACTCGAGCACCGGAACCATTATACTACCGTGGCGTGTACCAATCGCAGTGGTATGCTGGCATGAAACTCGTTCGCTACATCGTGATGGACGGACTGTTCGTTGCCGATCGTTTTATCCGCGAGAAAACTGTCGGCGCGTCATCGTCGTGGCAGTTACGGTATGTAATAAAGGAGTACGGAATACATTCAGGCCTAATGAAACACTGGAGTCTGGTGCCATGGTCGTATTGAAAATGAAGTTGCATGATGACGAAAATTGCAGTTTGGCTTTGCTGTTATGCAAAATAAGTATACAAAATTTCCGTACGAGAGAATTACAGTACTTGTACTGATATAAAAGACGTTTTTAATTTCTTTCTGAATAGTGTAGTGTACGCGCATCCCGAATGATTACGGCCACTAGCGTGGGTTTGGTCTTAGCGAGCCGCAGGGCACGCATTAACCGTCGCCGTGGCGAGAACACGGTACTGCTCATGATCGCAACATTGTATTGTCTCCAGCAATACCAAAACGCAGTACAGAGCTGGTTGCAAATGACGCGGCGGGAAAGCAACTGCACTTATCCACGTCACGGGCGAGAAGTACTACACAGGGTGCCTCAAGCACGTCTCCGTGGGCAAAAGTGATTGACGGGGACACCGGGACAAAAGGGCCTGGTCGCTCGAGCGAGGGCAAAAACTCCGCTCGCGTTGGCTTCCGAGAGGTACGGGTGCGGGTAAGAGCGGTGCGGTGTCTACACAGGACACCGAACCACTCTTCAGCTTAGTGTTCGAAAAGGCGCAACACAAGGTGAGCGTTCGCCGTGGGCGCAAGACGTCGTTGGCGAAGTCCGGCGAGCCCCAGACAATAGGAGCCGACAGACGGAAAAGAAATGCGTGCTCACCCCAAGTCATCCCGGAGAGATCTTACTCACTGAGAGAACTCACTCCCGACACGCGCGCGCGAAACGTCCCGAAAGACTCCACGCATAGTGCCACAGTCGACATCCGCTACCGGGTGAGAAGGGTTACACGTCACTCCCCGCTTCCCCAGTGCGGCAGACCGCGGAGGAGGGGAGTCATGTCGGGACATCAGAATGGCAGAAATAGGCGGCAAAGCCCGCGCAATGGCGATGGGCTAGCCTGAATTCCCACATTACCCTCTCCTAAATTTGCCCTCTATTGGTCTGCAAAGACAACCAGACGTCACCCATGCAGTTAAAATGACACTGCTATGAGCAACAGCTAACCTCCGTTCAGCACTGTAATGCTGCGGAAGAAAAAAAAATGAAGAAAAGGATAAACATTAAAACAAAATAAACACATGACACTATAAAATGCGTGCGAAAGGGAGCAAGGAAAGTAAGGCTAGTGTTCGTGGTGCTGAGACGAGATAGAGTCCACCGCGTGGAGGAGTAGCAAAGCGTGATAATGTCCGCTGGGTGCGATGTCCGTGTACAGAAGGGGCTCTCTGATGGCTCATTGCTGCTCTTGATTAGTCGAGAGTCCGACGAACGCCACTTCGGTGGTGGTTTGGAGGCCCCGCATTTTCTTGATGGATGACGGGGAACCTCATTCGGAAGCCGAGCCTCCCCCAGGATCAGGGAGGTCGAACCGGAATCGGCTGCGAGGCGCCCTGGCGTTGGCAGGCAGCATATAGCTGCTGTGAGCTGGCCTCGCGCCCGAGCGAAGGCGGAAGGGGCAGCAGGGCTTCTCGGCGACGGCCGAGAGCAGGGCACATCCGGACTGTCCGTCGTCAGCAGGTCAGGGCCCAGAGCACCCCCAGTGTCCATGTCGATGGGACGAA